AAAAAAATAGATTTTTTAAAATAAAAAAAAAAAAACAAATTAAAAAAAAAAGGGATTAGACGGACTAATGCGCGCCTAGGCGCGCCTTTTAGTTGGAAAACGCATTTTTTCCCACATTTCCCGAATTCGAAGCGTTTTGGTGGCGCCTAAGCGCGCCTAGACGGCGCGATTTCCCCTTTTTTAGAACAATGTCTAATATTGATTAAACATGTATATCAACTCCCTCAAAATTGTGCATTCGAGCAATGGATTCCTACGTAGATCAATATATTAAAAATAAAATGGTACAAAACCTCACTCGGAAGAAAAAGAAAGAGAACTTCACTCCACCGGTATAGAGTTGCTTTCAACTGTTTGATTCTAGCATTAAATTCATCGACAAAGGTTATGACAACTTGTTAACTTGTGCCTCTAAGTCAAACTAATTTTCGTTCTATATATGAAAAATTTAACGATCCATCTCTGTTTTGAACTTACGTGATCAGAGTTTCCCTTGTATTTCCTCTATTCTCGTGAATCTCATCCCAATTTCTTCCCAAAATGTTGACCCATCTACGTAATTTAGATTTGAAGAGAGGTTAAATCCACTCATGATCACCAACTTTATATTTAGTGTTATCATAATCATCCAATTTGATTTTTTTACAATGGTCACCCAACTTTATGCATAATGTCACCATAGCCACCTAATTTGATTTAATTTTACCATGGCCATACAATTTCATATAACGTTTTGTCATAACCACTCAATTTCATATAATGTTTCATCATGGTCCATCAACTTCTTTTTAACATTTTCACTAATTTTCACTATATAAAATAAAATATTAAATAAAATAAAATGAAACTTATTTGAAAAAAATAAAAAAAAATTATTTTAAAAAAGTTACTTAAAAAAATAAAATAAAAATTTATTTAAAAAACAAAGTTACTTAGAAAAATAAAAACTTATTTTTAAAAAAAAAAAATTTTTAAATAAAACAAAAAACTTTTTTTTTTAAATTTATTTTTTATATATAATGAAAAGAAGTTATGTGACCATGATGAAATACATGAAATTGGGTGACTATGGTAACACTAAGTATAAAGTTAGATAGTCATGATGAAATAAAATCAAATTTGGTGGTCATGGAGACACTGAATATAAAACTGAAATGCCAATCGTGGATTTAACTCATTGAAAAGAGATTTCTTGTGCATAGCCTTCCTAGTTTTTGTCCTTTCGAGTCTTGAGCCGTCTCTCTAGCCATTCTGAGTTAGATTCAATGGAACATTAAAAATGTAATTCCTATATATAAATTCAACTGGACCCATTCCCCAGGCTAATTTCACAATTTCTAGC